AGTAAAGTACCAAACATTAGCATGAAAGGAAATAATTTAGACACAGGTGTAATCCCAAACGAGCTAGAAGGTTTGACTCTTCTTGAAAAGAAAATGCTTAGCAAAATAAATGTATTAATGACATTAACTTTACTACCTGGTGGTCAGTATGCTAAAAAAGGATTAGTTTTAAATCTTCCTGTGAACATTGAAAACATAATTGAACAATTTCCACAGAATTTAGAACAGTGTCCTCTCATAGATCTAAAGTTTGAGAATAGTAATGGATCTGTATATGTCAGTAATCACCATAAAATAAGAAGCAAAAAATATGCTGAAGCAATGAATTGGGGAGTAAAAAATTGTCATTACAATACTCTGACCTTTAATGTAAGTAATGTTGTTTAAGAATTAAATAAGCTGAATAAAAGTTCAAGTACATTCAATAGGGAAGAAGAAGAATTGGAAGAAGCTGTAATGATTCCAGTGGATAATACTTGCAATACTTCAGATAATGCATATATTCATGTTCAAAGAAGTAAATCTGAACCTGTAAATATCTTGCTAACAGAACTTGGAGAAGAATTGGCATTTCCCTGACTTTTCGTAATTGGGAAAATGGATTTTGTGCCGAGCGCCCCCTAAAAGTAAATCAATCAATGTATTTAAAAGTGAGGCTTTACAATGAAAAAGGTTATTTTAGAAAAAAAAACATGACATATTTATAGCATCCTGCTGCATCGTTTAATATCTCTTTATTAAAACAAGAGTTGGGGATTCACATGAAAATTTTGAAGACGGTGCATTCGGGAGACCAATATTTTGTTACTGCTGGTGATGTTAAAAATATGAATGAAAATTCAGATCTTCTTGAAAATTCTTACATGTTCATGAAGAACATTAAAGGTACCGTTGCTTACTTTAGAAATGTTTTGTATGATCTTTTAGCAATTTTCAACAAGAGGCCCATGGGCCACATCGCTCACCTGAGAAGCTTTGACCATGCTATTCTTTCCTAGATTTCCCCCTTGTAATACATATTGTGACCCCATCCTATCCCCAGGGGTCATGATTTGAATAATTTGAAACATACACTACCCCAGAATGCTTCCACATAAGTTTCAGCTTATCTGACAGAGTGGTTCTTGAGAAGAAGATTTTCAAAGATTTTTCCTATATATTTCTATGTAAAACTTTGATTCCCCGTTGTGGCCCCGCCCTACCCCTTGGGGTCATGATTTGAACAATTTAGAATCTACACTACCTTAGGATGCTTCCACATAAGTTTCAGCTTTTCTGGCCCAGTGGTTCTTGAGAAGAAGATTTTCAAAGATTTTTCCTATATATTTCTATGTAAAACTTTGATTCCCCATTGTGGCCCCGCCCTACCCCCGGGGGTCATGTTTGAACAATTTAAAATCTACACTACCTAAGAATGCTTCCACATAAGTTTCAACTTTTCTGGCCCAGTGGTTCTTGAGGAGAAGATTTTTAAAGATTTTTCCTATATATTTCTATGTAAAACTTTGATTCCCCATTGTGGCCCCGCCCTACCCCCGGGGGTCATGTTTGAACAATTTAGAATCTACACTACCTAAGAATGCTTCCACATAAGTTTCAACTTTTCTGGCCCAGTGGTTCTTGAGGAGAAGATTTTTAAAGATTTTTCCTATATATTTCTATGTAAAACTTTGATTCCCCATTGTGGCCCCGCCCTACCCCCGGGGGTCATGTTTGAACAATTTAGAATCTACACTACCTAAGAATGCTTCCACATAAGTTTCAACTTTTCTGGCCCAGTGGTTCTTGAGGAGAAGATTTTTAAAGATTTTTCCTATATATTTCTATGTAAAACTTTGATTCCCCATTGTGGCCCCGCCCTACCCCCGGGGGTCATGATTTGAACAATTTAGAATCTACACTACCCCAGGATGCTTCCACATAAGTTTCAGCTTTACAGGCCCAGTGGTTCTTGAGAAGAAGATTTTTTAATGACCCAACCCTATTTTTATCTTTTCTTGATTATCTCCCCTTTTGAGGAGACATGGCCCTTCCTTTTAACAATTTATATTCCCTTTAACCCAAGGATGTTTTGTACTAAGTTTGGTCAAAATTGGCCCAGTGGTTCTTGAGAAGAAGTCGAAAATGTGAAAAGTTTTCAGACGGACGGACGGACGACGGACAAAATGTGATCAGAAAAGCTCACTTGAGCCTTCGGCTCAGGTGAGCTAAAAATGATTTACAATGGCCAGAACTTGGATTGACACTTAAGAATATAGATTTTAAAGATGCTTGTGGAAAATCATTTTTTCAGTCGATGAGGAAAGATCCTTTACTTGCTGCTACACATTTTGATAGAAGGTATAGAGCATTGCTAAAGGAACAGTGTTAGATTACTTTTCGTGCATTGAGTTTCAATATAGGGGGAGGCCTCGTGTTCACATGTTTTTATGGATTGATGGGCTAACTGTAATTATAATCAGGTATTGTCTGCAAGCTCAATCGCCGTGTTTGATTGCACTGTTTACCTCGATGCGATAGATGATTGACACGCCGAGAAGCAAAACTTTGGAGGTGCTTATGATAATAATCGGGTAACAACTACATGTATACCATGTTTTTTTTAAATTCGACTTTCTTTTTATCTGTTTAGCGTCTGCAAAAGTCTTTGTTTTTGTAACACCATGTTAGAAAAAACACAGAAAATAAATTATTTCGTCAAAATTTTTGATTTTGATTTTTGAATTCTGTCAAGTTTACTATATATTTGTAATTATATTTGTAGAATATGAAGTGTAATGTATATTATTTAAGTATTATTTCAACACTTTTATTTGATTTTGGCCTACAAATGAAAGGAACCTTCTATAAGGAAATAGGCTTACGAAATTTAATTGATTTAATGGCATCATTTTAAAGTTTCTGTTTTATTTTAAGGGGCTTTTTTGCCAATAGGTTAAGTTGGTAGATTTTTGAAATATGGGTGGATGCTAAACGCAGAAAAAAACTTTCAATTTCGCCTTGAACTTACAGAGAATTCTTCCCAAAAGATTCTATCCTGAAATAAAAAACAAAAATTGTAAAATTTTAGATTTCATTTTTTTGCAATATTTTACACAGACAACCGAGTATTTTATGAATATGTACAAATTTAAGCGTTCAATTATCAAATCGAGATTTCTTTTCCCTCGCAAGATCTGCAGATGGTGGCGGTGCTACGGGCGCAATAGACCTGGACAGTCTTCTCGGATCTCCCTCCTTCGGGTCCTGCTGTCTGTGGAACTCTTCTTTGTCCTCAATTCTCTTATTAGCTAGCACCCAGTTCATCAGCATTTCCGCGTGTTCATAAGTCTTCTTTTCTTTTACTGGATACACATTCCACTCTCCTGATTTCTTGTTGAGCGTTCTCTGAAGTCTGAAATATTATAATAATTATATGTAAAGTATTAAGTGATTTTATTAGAATACTATTACCACGAAAAAAGTAACTATTGACTAACTTGAAAAAGTTCTAAACATAAAGGAAATTGTAAAGATGGGGGTGTAAGAAACATATCAGATCAGATTTATTCATAACAATTTGGGGCCGATTAGGGCTACATGTACATGTAAAACAAAATACGTACACGCAGAAATCAAAATTTAACTGTAGATTTTTGTTAATTTCATTAACATCAAAATAGATATATTAGAGTCTCTAATTGCATGAAACAGTTCTTCAATGAGCAGTGTTTAGAGCTTTATTGACTTGGTTTTTTTCTGTCATTCGATACAGTATACAGAAAAATAGTGAAATTTAAGTTTTATGACTGATACCTCAAAATTCCATCTTTATTTTTGGTGGGCTCTCTGACTACATTTGGTTGTAATTTAGGGCTGCTAGAAGTTTTCTGAATGGGTATACAAGTGGAATGTATGAGTATCTTTTACAAGAATACATCAACATGACGTGGTAGCTTTCCAGATCATTTGTGCTTCTAAAAAGTAACAATTATGAAATTCATACTCATTTTGTTTTTAGTTAATTTCCTACATAATGAGCTAAAATTTATAAAAATCAAATCTTCAACAAATAGATTTTTAAATCTTACCTAAATTTAGATAATAATGTACGTTGTTAAGGAAGCACTTGTCCAGGATAACTTTCCTTAAAGCCTCATGAGCTGGGCTGCCCTTTTGTCATTCACACTTTGTTTCCAGTTGCATATGACAAAGGATCATGAACATACACTCACGCCCATATTACTGTAAGGCAGAAACCACTTATGTTTATCCACCACATGGTGCATAACACCAACCCATCTCCCCTAAAAACAATCACATATCTTAGACAAATCATCATTTTTCACTTTCAGTCATCCAAGTTATATTTACACTGCACTGACAAGGAAATTTGATACGTGCATTTGTTGCATTTTTCAAATAATAAACTTAGTTTTAATGTTTAGATGTTTAATGTTTAGACGCACATGAATTCTTCCATGTTGCCTGTATGCCGTTTTACACACATACCAAAAATGGTTAGTTCTTGTAAACGTTGATTGCCCTACTAATATTAACTTTAGAAACCTTCCATCTTCCATTAATCACTGTAACTTGTTGATGGTCTTGGATCAGGCTCATTTAGTTCTTCAACTTCTGACATGATTCTTGAAAACAATTTTTAATACAATGAATTATATAATTGAATCATGCATGCAGCGAGAAGTAAAACCTTGAGAAAGCTTTATTACTTGTGTTACCTAAAACATTTCAGACTATGCAGAATTTTTATTTTACCACTTCTTAAGTACACGGACGGATTAATTGGTCATTCTGAAAGGTGACACAGGTTAACATTTCGTTATTTTTTTTACACTGATGTGATTATGCTTTTACTGTTAAGTTTTCAAGTGGTCAATCAAGCTCCTGATCCAATTGGCTTCTGTTTGGATGCAGCTAGGATCTTTTTCTTCAGACCTGAAAATAAGACTTGTTTACAGAGTAAAATTAATATGTTCCATCTCAAACGGGCGTATAAAAATCAATAATATTTTAATTGCTTCATTTGATCTTTTAGATTCAGACATATTTATATCACAGATGATATTAATAACTTTGGAGATAACTCAGAAAGTAAGTCATAATAGAGTTAAACATCTGCAAATGTTGATTCCATACAAGATGTATGTATGTATTGTATATACATACGATTCAAATGAGGAATGAAAATAAATAGAATACCTCTTGTCACATGCCAAACATCGTAATGATGTGTCGTCTCCATCAAGTTCTCCTTGTCCACTTCTGTATTTGGACATGGCGGTCTGTCACTATCGTACCAATCTCCAAATCTTGGTCTTTCACCCAGGCAATAGTCCGCTCTAATCCTTTCTTTTACATTCCCAAGCTGATTTTACTTTCATTGCTCTAAAAATCTGAATCAAATTTAATACAATTAGTCAAAACATCAAGCAGACACCTCATGTACACACCTTCACCCCTTCACTGAATCCTTTTTAACATTTAATTCGCATGCACACTTTGTCAAATCTTTACAAAAAATTTGAGTAATTAATGATAAACTTTGCACAGTGACCACGGGAGTCCATCTCCGCCAATCCAGGGGATCTCCTCTCTCCAAAGCTCCACCTGATGGTGATTGTCCCATACACGAGCAGTTGAAATGGCTGGCTGGTGGGAATTGAAAGTTCTTCTGGTAATGGTAGCAAAAAAATAATTAAAGAGGATATATAAATACTTCATAATATAGTTCAGTTATAATGATCACCAAGTAAATGAAAATGTAACAATCCCTGAATGAAGTATGTCTTTTACGAGCATAGGGGTCATAGTCCATAAATATACAAGTTTTTAAAAAACCTTCATCCTTAACTCTTTAATTTAACTGAAAAAAGTGCAGCTTGAATTTTGATCTATTTTGATCTATTTAACTAATAGCAGATTTCTGGATAGCGTAGTTAATAGAAAAACTTACTAGCCATGGGGAATCAGATTGGAGAACCGGGTATACATGTATATTGCAATATAAATCAAAAATTAAGCAGTTAAAATTACAGCATTTTACAATCATATGTTGCAATAAATCACTTCATCTTATTCCTTGCAGTAATCTTTGAACTACGTTTTCCAATTCGTAATGATTCTGTCTGACATGCCATAGACACACTTTTCTTTTCCTAAAATAAAAAGACAAGAGATAAATAAGTAATCCATCCGTAGAAGTAGAGTTATGAGCTACATATATTACAGCAATATTTTTCTCTCTTCTCTTTCATAATACTTGCATGAATGGTTCATTTTCAAGAAATGTCGAACAAGTGCAAGTTGTTTCTGTTTTTTTTTTCAATTTGATTTACTCAATTAGAATTAATGCACAAGATTTTTGACTAATAAATATAAAAAAAAAAGCTTTTTGTTTAAACGGGGCAAGTGAGCAAATTTGTTTATTCCAATTTTTTATTTGGTATATTTTGGTTGACCTGGTCAATCTGTACAGAGGTATCTAAATTATGCCCCAAATAAACGAGATAAACATATTTCTTACTACATATCGGATCCTCACCAATCTATCCTTGTTTAATAAACAATGCATAATAACTAACATGTCATTGTTACATTCATGGAACTTAGGATTTAGAATCGAAAGTTGAATAGTAAGTTGAATACCTATCTAGATCAGGATCAAAATGTCAAATGTAAACGAGAAGATAATGACTTCAGATGAGAATCTAGAATTCCTTTCTTAAGTTATCATGGTTATGGCCTAACAGATAAATAAAAGATGTATTTGGAATAAAAAGAGAAAAATAATAAAATCATCCTTCCTTTCCGTTGGTTTCGTACTAAATGTGTAAACATATAAAAGCCATGGTCCAAGGAACGTAACAAATTACTCTCTCTCTCTCCCTCTCTCTCTCTCTCTAAACATCTCTCTCTCTCTCTCTCTCTCTCGTTGTTTGGATCCCAACACATTCATCGGTCGTGTGACTCTTCTTGTACTTCTTCAACACTTGTGTTTTCATGAAACAGCTCTGCAAATATCTGCGATAAAATAACGAATTCTTTAAACGTGTATGAAAAATACAAATTTGAATGATTAAGACATTACAGTGAATAGTCAATGTAGTTTATTTCTGTTTAACAAAAAAATTCCCAGGAAAGCAGTTTCAGTGCAAATTTATCAAAGTCTTTTTTATGTCTGACATTTTCTTTATCTTATTCCGAATTTGCTCACAAAAGTCAACAATTTCTGAAGTTAATATTTGTTTTATCGAATCACATACACACAGAGAACGAAAGAACTAACGCTATTCCTCTGGTGTTTTCCATTGGCTCCTTGCACTGGAGGCCCAGGGGTGTTTACATGGGGAAACTCCAAGAACACGTCATTCAGTTCTTCACGTTTCCCCTGGTGTAGACGCTTCTTCGTAGGAATCCCGGAGTCCTTCATGAGTATTAACCGACTAACATATTATGCGCAAACGGACTTTGTGCGAACGTGTTTTCGAGCGAACGTATTCTAGGCGAACTAGAAAACGAGCGAACGGCATCAAAGTCGAACGCGTTTCATGGCGAACGAACATACATGTTCAACTCATAGCAGTCCTCATTGAAATGGTCCTGCAGATAACTGTGTATTATTTCGAGGGACCGGACTACAGGAACGCCCCCCCTCCCCTTCGATATAGATCCCTGGGGTTTTTTTCGACTCTTTTCTCATAAATAATCTTTCATTGACAAATCGGAAATTACCTAAAACGAACGTTCTATAAAATGTACTCTACATTCTATATATTTGTATAGAAAGAGTGGGGTAGAAATTTTTCTAAAATGTTAGTTTAAGCAAATTCTATGAATTGATAGGACATTTTATCGCAAAAGTGTCATCCATATATAATTTATGTGAGAAAAGTCTAACAGGCCCGGGGTCTATATTGGGGGGTTGTTCTGTCCTCAAGCACCTGCGGAACAGACCAATCTGCCCACGTCAGCTACACAAAACAACACCAGGCCGCTTACAGTCGCTCATCTTTGTAAAAAACATGAACCGACACGCATTGCTACATCCTGCCAAAAAACACATGTATCCGACACTTTTACTGGCCATTAACCCTTGGAAAATACAAACTCACTCGGAGACTTTCTAAAAATGGAGCAAACTAATGTGTTGTGACGTCACGTCTGCTTTGGCTTGGAATAGCCTCTTTATCGGTAACGTCAAGGTGTATATTTATATTTTTTTTCAGTTTTTTGTGCAATGGATTATCTTTTCCTCTTATTTCAATGGCTGCATACATTTCTGCATTATCCTTACCTCTAATTTTAATGGCTACAGACTTTTCTGGATGATCCTTACCTCTAATTTTAATGGTTACAGACTTTTTCTGGATCATCCTTACCCCTTATTTTAATGACTACAGACTTTTTCTGCATTATCCTTACCTCTTATTTTAATGGCTAATAACTTTTTCTGGATGATCCTTACCCCTGATTTTAATGGCTACAGACTTTTTTCTGGATTATCCTTACCCGTAATTTTAATGGCTACAGACTTTTTAGCTACAAGGTCATCCCTGACCCATTTTCTTCTCTCCTTCACTTGCTTAAACACTTCACAAGTCAAGTTCCCGGCATCTGCCTTCTGTACGTCTAGAATAAATCGAAAGAACAGAGGATGTTTCTTACCTGAATTACGCCTATCAAGGTCAAGATCAAGTACGAGCTATGCAACTGCATTAATATTTATTTACTTTAACCTTTCCTTTGACCTTGACCTCACTTTTAACTACATAATACAAGATATATTTATCAAACTTAGCATGCTGATACGTATTTGTAAGAAATATTCAAATGAATCAAGAACGTTCCGGAGCATTCATGTCTTATGAACATAGTTCTAGTTTAAACTGCCAATGAAAAATGAAAAATTTTAATGAAAAATTAAAAAAAAGTCATGAATATGCATTAACCTTAGCCATAAATTTTGAATAGTTGGTTCTAGGGCTTTCATATTTCACAAGTGCATTTCTTGTGACAAAACTTTTATTGGGTATAAAAATATTTTACCCATTAACCCAAACCTTAAACCCAATTAAAAAAAAATAACCTTGACCGTAACTTTTGAACCGTTAGAACTAGGGCTTTTATATCTCAGAGGTCTATTTCTGGCGACAAGACCTTCCTTTTTTGATACCAACAATTTTGAACTCTTGACCTTGACTTTAGAGTTTGACTCACTTAAAAAACTTTATCCTTGACTTTTGAACCGTTAGTACTAGTTTTGATATATGAATATCACAACTTGATTTAAATTCATTTCTTAAGGTAGGATTCTTCTCACACAAAACTGTATTTCTTGTATTTAAAGATTAATGAAAGAATAGAATGCCTATAGTGCGACAATTAAGAAGTGAAAAATTTAATCTCAATTATATCTAATTTTTATTTCATATTTCATCTAATATTAAAGTATACTTAATGTAAAATATCTATAATTTACAAAAATCCCACAAAGACTGAAAATATTTGCCTATGAAAAAGCATACATAGACTTAAAAGAACAAAAACGATCAGTTTTCATACTTTAACAAATTTTTTTCAATATGAGTGGGCCTTCCCTCCAAGTTTTGAAAGATAATCCTAAAAGTTTGCGATAAAAAAATATTTTTTGGTTTACAAAAAAATGAAGCGAAGACCAACTATACCTGAAATGTACACTTTTATGACAAAACATTCGCATCCTTCCGAGTAATACTTCAAGTCCATTAAGTCAAGGGTCATATCACAAACATGATTTAAATGCCCCTAATCATCATGAGCCATGTAGCATAGTGGTTAGCGCGTTAGTCTCAAAGCAGTATGATACTTTGGCAGTTTATTGCTGGGGTTCGAATTCGACGTATACTATCTACTATTTTTATAAATGAATTTTTTTTAAGAGATTTATTTTCTCTCAGAATTTTTTTTTTCATATTTTCATAAATTTCAATAAGGAGCTGTAGATTTAAATACTCAATTTATATATCAAATGTGATTTCTTAATATCTGACGCTATTCTATTCTATCTGAGGCATTCTGTCCGCCTTATCCCCCCATCTTCTTTTTACAGAGTCAAGAAAACAATATCACTAAGTGATGGTATCAGATAGATTAGTTTTGACAATTCTATAATAGAATCAAGATCAATCAAGGTCATTTTTTTTCTCCCTGAACATTATGAATGAAACAAATACTGCATACAATCATGCGATACGGTTCTCTTTTCTAAAGATTAAATATTTTTCTTTTTGCATAAAAAGATGTTACCATATAGGGTCTATAAGAAATCTATTATTAAATTGGCACAAATAGTTTAACAAAATGTATACTGGCTAATCTGAATTTTTTTTCATTTATTCGGATATATTAGGTTTTTTTTTTATCTGTCCTATATTTAAAATTTTCTGATTTTCACATATGATAAAGAAGTCATATCGAGATACAAAATGATACAAAAATAAAAAGATTTGACCGTTTATTAAGAGAATAAAACACTTTCTATGGATTTTTGGCTTATATCTGTACTTAGATTGGAAGCTTCTGAAAGTGAATATAATAGTAGTTTGTTTAAAAAATCATATTTATTTGATATATTTTTAAACGTTAATCCCTTATTATCAATATACATGTACATAACATTTGAAAAATCCTTCAAGTCTTTGATTGAGTAAAGATTTTGACTAAATTCATTGTTCTACAATAATTGTGAGAATCAGAAAAAAAGAAGTTTTCATACGCCATCATTCCGCCAAAAATATAGTCCCTGCTAGATTTTAAACACAGTTTAACATATCTATTTAAAGTTATACAATTACGATGAGAAAAGAAAAAATATAATCTTTTAAATCTCTGACATCTAGATATATTAGACATATAAGCAAATATACATTGAATATTTCAACTAGTCAGAAACCAGAAAAGAACCCTACCTTAAATATTTACATTTTCAATATTGTTCTTGAAAACTCTTTGCAAATTAGAAAACTCATGAACTATCATGGATGAGCATAAATATCTCTTTTGATACGTCACATGTCTTCGAATACGGGAAAGTAAAAACGGATCACAGAAAACATTACATGTTCAGACACTGGATTTTTACTTATTTTTTAAAAGAAAGTTTGTGGGACTCCAAAGTGCGACGGGACTTCAAAGTCCGATGGTCACGCCAAAGTCCGATGATCTGCGCCAAACCCCGATGGTCTGACACGCCAAAGTCCGATGGTGCGGAAATCAATTAACATTTATGCCGTCAAAGTAGCACTACCCCAAACCTCAATGCCGCGCAAAGGTCTTTAAAATAAGTATAAATAAATGCGAAAACTAGCCCTTATCTCTCAGATAGGTGCGAGACTAACGCTCGAAAAGTGCGTATTAACAATAAACTAAATATCTTGAGTAGGGGCAAGACTAACCCTTATCACTCGACTAGTGTGCGAGGACTAACCCTAATTCACTCGGGTTGTGCAATGCAAGGGCTAACCCTAATCAATCGAGCGGTGTGCGAGGACTAACCCTAATAGCTCTGGAAGGTGAAGGCAATAAGCAAAATCAATAAAATTGTATTCGAGGACAAATTCAGAAATGACTGCTTTTGAATGCAGGAAAACGGCGACAAGGATTGACGTCGGATTATTGTGACGTCATAAATGCAATTCAGGGCAACGTGTCTCATGGGAAATGAGCCATTGGACTTTAGTGTGACCATCGGACTTTGGCGTCCGTAACGACAGAGAGCCATCGGGGTTTGGCGTCACCATCGGACTTCAGAGTCTTACAAGTTTACCCTTGGCAAAAACTTTTGAACGGCTTTATACTTCACATAATATGAGATTCTACGACAAGAGCTTTTTTATATACCAAAAATGTTGACCTTGGAATTTGATTTAAAAAAACATTATCCTTGGTAATAACTTTGGAAATTCAAAAATTAGTGCTAGGGCTTTCATTCTTCACATATCTTATACTTTTGAAAAGAATTTTAAAAAATAAAAATATTGATTTTCTGACCTTTGTTTTTGACCTAATTTTTTAACCATGTAAAGTATGCTATTCTGATCAAAACATGCTTGTCCTGCAAGCAGTTCAGAGAAAGATTACAGTCATTAAAACGCTTGTTATTCCAAAATTTGTACACCTATTCTCAGCTCTACCAAATCCATCAAAGGAACTACTAAATGAGATAAAAAAATTCATTGTAATTTATTTGGGCATATAAGGTAGAAAAAGTAAAAAAGAAATACATTGATAGGAAAAATTGAAGAATGTGGACTAAACATGATCCATTTATCCTCCTTTATCCTTACTGACAACAGTAGAGCATGGCAGCCAATTTTATGCTGTATATTTAATTTAAAAATTTAACTTCGTTTTTTTATTTAACCAAAGAAAAACTCACAAAACTTTTGAATTACATTTAAAATGATTTTTGGAAAGATGTTATAAAAGCTCTTTTAATTGTTAAAAAAGATTTTTTGAGTGCTACAGATTATTTCTATACTGATATTAGAAACTTTGTTGATTTTTTACTACTATTTAATATTTAATATCAAGAGTACCGATAAGAGTCAAAATGGAGGTTACTTTTTATATGACAGATAGAGGCAATCAATTGGCAGCACCAGAGAATGAGTTATACAAAAAATGATGTCTGTGACAAGTATGAAATTTCTGTGTAAAATTATGAAAGATAAGAAATTTGTGGCACCAGAATCCAAAAAGTTAAAATTAATAAAGGAACCTATTACAGAAAAACACGGGAAATTTTCCTTCGGAATGCATTAATTTACACAAAGGACACCAAAATCACTTACTTTCAATATAAAATTCTTATGGGCTTCCTTTCCACAAATTCTTTTCTTCACAAGATAAAAATTGCTGAAAATAATTTTGGCTTTTACTGTCAACAGATCCAGAAACATTGATTCATCTTTTTTATGATTGTATTCATGTGACATTGTAATGTTTTAGAGAGATTTTGAAAATATAC